TCCACCAGGACACCCAGGCCCCTCACCGCAGAGCTGCTCTCCAGCAGGTCCACCCCAAGCCTGTACTGCTGCATGAGGTTGTTCCTCCCCAGGTGCAGGTCCCTGCATTTGCTTTTGTTGAACCTCATCAGGTTCCTCTCTGCCCAGCTTTCCAGCCTATCCAGGTCACGCTTCCACACGACACATGCTCAGGGAGCCCCCCAGCCCTCCGTAAGCACGGATGAAGCTTCCAGGCTCCCGGAACGGTCATGGTCAGTGTCCACTTTTTTTTCAAATAGGGAGAACTGAGTCAAAGCGGTAGATTCTCTTCGCAGGGAAGATGAAATCCATCCCCTAATGGCCTTCTCTGCTGATGAAACCGTCAGGAATCGCTGAGAACCTAGACAGCACTTCCAGAAACACTCCCTGAAGGCAACAAACCCCTTCAAGCATTCCGGTCGCGATCCAGGACCGCGTTTAAACAACGTGCAACATCTGCAGACAAACCACGAGGAAGTGGTGACATTCCTACCTGGTTTATGCTTGATGTTTGCTTTAGAGCCACACTTCGAGGACACCTTGGAAAGGTCAACCTTCTTGTTCTGGATCTGCACCTGAAGAGGTAAAAAGAAACAGCTCAACACAGAGGAACATTTCCTACGAATCTGGAGGTCAAGGTGCCATCTCCAACCCCAGGCCACGCTGAATTAACCCGTACCCCTTCTCCACCACATTGTATTTCCACACTGACTGCCCAGCCCCCACGTGCCAAACACCGTCCTTGGTGTTGGCGTTCTTGAAAGGCCAGCACCAGCCAGGAGTGGTTAATGTGAGCAGACAGCAACTGAGACCAGATAAAACCAACAGGTGACGGACAATAAACCAGAAATGGGAGTCTTGAGTTCACGGCACATCTGTGGAACACAAAAGCACTTGGGAGAGGGACCAAAAAACCCCCCCCCAAGAAAGCCAATCCCATTGCCATGTTCCTCAGACTGCTTCTGCCCAGCGCTGGCTCTGCCTCTGAAGACCCGGGCATTGCCCGAGCAGCTCCAGATGGTCACCAGGACAGATGTCATCTCACGGTTCCACCCAGCCACTCTCTCACCACAGGGCTGGAGACACGTCACCAGCTCCAACTTCTCCTCTCTCCCATCTTCCCCGTGCAGGCTGAGCCACGTCTCATGGCCACGCTGTGTTTGTGGCCTCCTCCCTGCTGAGAACAGGACACGGGGAAGGACCATCGTGCCCAGAGGGAACAAAGTGCTGGAAGCAGCTACCCTTCTCAAAGACAAACCACTGGGACTCGGGAAGCTACTTCCTTTCCTGCATCATTTCCTTCATCCTCATTCTATCAGCGACTTGATCCTGACCTACAAAACCTTCAATGAAGAAGACGTTTGGTGCTGCAGTCATGAAACCATGAGATACCCATGACTCGGTAAACGACCTTCTTCCAAGTCAATGAGCCGAATGTTCTAGCTCGGTGCTTGTGGACATCGGTTTGCATCTGGGGAGAAGCGTCTCCTTTGGGGTAGGACAAAGGCGGAGTCAAAACATCACGGGTTTTGTGTCTTTTTGCTCAAAAAATATTTCCTCTCCGACGCCTGGACCAAACGCATTGTCCCATTTTTGGCATCTTTAAAATTCCTCCTGCAGCTCCAGGTGGATGAAAAATTCCTCTATTCCAGAACGAGCTTCTTGTCTACCCACTTGGAGAGCTTTCACTTCGTATCAGCATCAGCAGGGGGGTTGGACTAGATGACCCACAGAGGTCCCTTCCAACCCCTACCATTCTGTGATATTCTGTGATAATTTGTACCAGAAGGAACTTCTGGTCGTCTGGTCTAACCCCCTGCTAAGCTGACAACTTTCCATGGGAAAAATCTGGGGGTTTTTTAAGAGGGATCACCTCTCCCGGTCACGTCAGCCACCGCCAGCTGACACCCACGTGTGCAGAAAGTTCTGCTGCGGATCCTCTCGCAGAGGAAACGACAATCCTCCTCTGCGACCGTGACAAGAACTCCTTCACTCACCAGCTGCTCTCAAAGCTGAGGGGGAATTTTCACGGCAATTGGCAACGCGTCGTTCCCGGGAAGCGTGAATCCTCCCAGCGCTTGCCAAGAGGGATGAGTCAAAGCCCTGATGTCTTGTTTGCTCAGAAAGAGCAGAACAGCAGAGTTCAGCCTCCTGCTGAGCTGCTCCACCTTCGCGTACCCTGACTCAGTGCCACCGCACGCTCCGAAAGGGTGAGACCATGGCTACTGGATTGGATTTTCTTAGGGGCTGATAGTAAAGTTACTACAGCTTCTGTAATGAGTATTTATTTGCTTGGAACTGGAATAAAACTGAATTTATTTCACAGAACGCATTTTGAAATCAGCACGTTTGTCATCAGCTCAGGTAGACATGGCCAGTTGTGACTCCTCCTGATTTCACCTGGGGATCTGAACAACTACACCGAAACGGAAGGGTGTTTCTGGTCAGATTTCTAACATCAGTTGTTTTGAGTTTGCGATGGGAGACACGGTTTAAGGCTTGGGCTCGCGTTTATGGAGCCAAATACTCAGACTCTGGTGCCAGAAATAAAGCTTGATACAGAGGTGCAGATGGAAAACGCGATCCTCACCTCGACCCCTTCCCAATCCATCGAAGCAGGTCAAGCCAAAGGGCAGAGAAACATCTCTGTACGCTGCAGAACGCACTGTTCCACCTTCAGCAACGCGTCTGCTGCCTGCGCTTGGCAAAATCCACCTCTTCCCCGTGGCTTTCTTCAGAAAGCATGGGAGAAAAGACTGCAGCACAACAAGTCTTTCACCCAGGAACTCTATGTTTGTGTCTAGGTATTTTTGAGAAATATAACAAGAAAAGGAAGAATCTCTACTGCCTTGGAACAGGTCCTGTTGGGTATCCTGGAGGGGAGGAGTTATCTCCGTGTACAGAAGGCAACACGGGCACCCACACAGAGCGTACCAGCTGGGCACCACCTCACCCAGGTAGGATGTCCATCGCTTCTACCAGAGCAACCCTAAAGCTGAATCATAATTTGCTACCAACCACAGCTCTAGTCCACAGGATTCCTAAAAGCTTTAACTGAAGCCACAGAGCAGAACAACGGACCTTCCGGACATCCCCATCAGCAGCGTGGCTCAGAAGTTCAACACTGGGAAGTCTTCTAGCAGAAGGGATCACCGAAGCTATTCGAGCAAGGAAAGATCTGGGCAGAGGACGCCGATATCGCAGTGCCCCAAAGGGAGCGAGCGGATATAAAAGTGAATAAAAGCATCTCTCCTAGGAGGAGAGGCTGAGGGAGATGGGCTTGTTCAGCCTGGAGAAGAGAAGGCTGAGAGCGGACCTTGGAAATGCCTCTAAATATCTGCAGGGTGGGGGTCAGGAGGCCGGGGCCA